AATAGAAAGAGGGCCCCAGCATGGACTGATCGGGAAGTCTTGGATCTCATCGCAGTGTGGGGCGATGAGTCCGTGCTTTCAGAGCTGCGCTCCAAAAGAAGGAATGCTAAGATCTACGAGAAGATCTCCAAAGCCATGGCAGAGAGAGGCTACAGCCGGGATGCAACGCAGTGCCGCGTGAAAATCAAGGAGCTGAGACAAGGCTACCAGAAGACCAAAGAGGCAAACGGACGCTCCGGATCCCAGCCCCACACATCCCGTTTCTACGAGGCACTGCATTCCATCCTTGCTGCGGCCGCCACCACTACCCCACCACTGACCGTGGACTCTGAGGATGGGATATTGTCCACGGCCGGTTCCTCGGACATGTTAGCGGACGGGGAAGATGAGGAAGGAGATGAGGAGGACGAGGCAGTCGACAGCGCTTACCAAGCTGATTTCCCCGACAGCCAGGAGCTCTTCATCACCCTTACAGAGATCCCCTACCAACCCTCCCCAGCATGTAACCTGGACACAGATTCAGGCGAAGGATCAAGCGGTAAGTGCTTTAAACATATTAACCTTTATTTTTTACAAAACTTGAATATTAATACTAAGAACAATCTGTGAATCATGATTTCTTCCCCCTGGGCGCTTAAGTAATCAATAACAACTATTTAAAAAAAAATCAAACAGTGTCCGGTTGTGCATGATTGTGCTGCCCAAGCTGCTCCACTCTTTAGTGCCTGCTACTGCAGCTATATTAGAATCCTGTCTATATGTCCGGGGATAGAGCAGTAGTCCTCCACGGACATCTCCACAAAGCTCTGCTGCAGGTAATGGGATAGCCTGTTCATCAGGTTCCTGGGGAGAGCGGCTTTACTTGGTCCTCCGAAGTAGGAGACGTTCCCGCGCCAGGAGACAAGCAGGTACTCCGGTATCATTGCCTTGCATAGCATGGCGGCATAGGGCCCCGGTCTCTGCAGGCTTTCTCGAAGCATCCGTTGGATCTCGGTGTCCGGGATCCTCATGAGAGTTATGTCGCTCATGATGACCTGCTTTGAATTAGGTAGGGGACTGTTAGTATTGGGACTGCTTGCAACAAGTTCCTTTACAGAACTGTGACCGCTGGTTTACAGCCACGCGGTGGGGGCGGGAGAGGGGCAGCATACAGGGATCTTTCCCTGGCTCATCCGCGAGGGGGTGGGACAGGGCCAGAGTTCCTGCTTGGCCGATTGCTGGCAGCACAGACTGGCAGTGCTTTCAATGTGAAAGGAGGCCAGTGGTACTCCTACAGTTTTAAGCAGCCACAAGTCTACGGCTTACCATGTTTGCCTGCTACAGAGAGTACCGTGTCCTGCCCCGCTTCCCAGATCGGCAGTGCAAAAGCCCAGGCACTGAAGGCGAGGTTCGAAAATTCGACCTTGTCCTGAGTGCGCATGTGATAGGTGTGGTTCTCTTGTTCACAGAGAAAAACTATGTTCTTGATTCACAACCACATTTTTCTTTCGGAGGAATTCACTGCCTTTTCCTCATTCCCACAGCCACATCTGCAACTGTCTCCCAACCCAGCTTGGCATCACACTCCCAGAGGCTAGCGCACATTAGGCGGAGAAATAAGAAGACGCGAGAGGACATGTTCTCAGAACTAATGGGCTGCTCCTGAGCCCAGGCAGCACAGCAGAACCAGTGGAGGGAGAATTTGTCACAAATGCACCGGACACACATGGAACGTGAGGAGAGGTGGCGGGCAGGAAGACCAGCAGGCGACTCAAACACTGCTTGGACTTCTGAGGGAGCAAACGGACACGCTCCGGCGCCTTGTTGATGTTCTGCAGGAACGGAGGCAGGAGGACAGAGCCCCGCTGCAGTCTATCTGTAACCACCCTCCCCCGCCACCAAGTCCCATACCCCCCTCACCCAAAGTCCAAAGAAGGAGGGGTGGCAGAGTCCGTGAAAACTCTCACTCCACCCCTGCAGACTGCTCAAGCACCAGAAGGCTGTCATTCCCCAAAATTTGAAAAGTCCTTTCCTGACCGCCTCACCCAAGCCCCCGTCCGACTTTCAACCCCCAGTTTCCTGTCTGGTTGTTAAGAAAAAATATGTTTCTGTTCATTACTGTTTCAGTCAGGTTCTTTTGAGGGAGAGTCTGTCTGGAGGGGGGGAAGGGGCTTGGTAATTGGACAGGACAGTGACCTTTAGCAGGGTACAGAGGCGGTGTCAGGTCCAGCATCAGGACACATACACAGTGCAGTCACTGGTTACCCTGGTCAGTCTGGGAGGTGTTTTTCATGTTCTGGGGGGGGGGGTTGCTCTGTGACTTTGTGGCGGGGGAGGGCAGTTACAGATCTTATGCAGCGGTCCTTATCCTGGATCACAGATCCACGCAGCAGGGGATCTGTAACCCTACCCCCCCTGCCAGAAAGTCACATAGCCGACACATACACACAGTCCCCCCCAGGAGTGCTGGCAGGCTCCATTGAAATAACCAGTCCACCAGTGCGGAGCCTGTCATTCCGGGAGTTTAGAAGCATCATTTGCATCAGAACACTGAACCCGCCCCCCACCACAGTCTGCGTCCCCGGTTTAAAATATTCCCGCGAAAACAGCAACACAGACAACGGTGTTCATTAACAAAATCGAAATGATTTTATTTTTTGGGAAGGGGAAGGGGGTGAAGGGGGTATGTAACTGGAGAGGATAGTCAAAATGAACTAGGTAAAGAAACGGGGGCAGGTTCAGCTTTTCTGTCCACAAACTGAAAAGTCACTGGTTGCCCTGCTCACTCAGGAACCTAGCTTTCAAAGCCTCCCGGATGCACAGGGCATCCCGCTGTGATCTTCTAATCGCCCGGCTGTCTGGCTGGGCGTAATCAGCAGCCAGGCTATTTGCCTCTAGCTCCCACCCCGACATAAAGGTCTCCCCCTTGCTCTCACACAGATTGTGGAGCACACAGCAAGCTGCAATAACGATGGGGATATTGGTTTCACTGAGATCACAGCGAGTCAGTAAGCTTCTCCATCTCCCTTTGAGACGGCCAAAAGCACACTCCACTACCATTCTGCACTTGCTCAGCCGGTAGTTGAAGAGTTCTTTTTCTGTGTCCAGGGCGCCAGTATAGGGCTTCATGAGCCAGGGCATTAGCGGGTAGGCTGGGTCCCCGAGGATGACTGTAGGCATCTCCACATCCCCAAGAGTTATTTTGTGGTCTGGGAAGTAAATACCTTCCTGCAGCCGTCTAAACAGACCAGAGTTCCTGAACACGCGAGCGTCATGAACCTTGCCCGGCCATCCGACGTAGATGTTTGTAAACCGTCCCCGATGGTCCACCAGTGCTTGCAGCACCATTGAAAAGTAGCCCTTTCTATTGATGTACTGGTTGGCCTGGTGGTCCGGTCCCAGGATAGGGATGTGAGTCCCATCGATAGCCCCACCGCAGTTTGGGAATCCCATCGCGGCAAAGCCATCTATGATGACCTGCGCGTTTCCCAGGGTCACTACCTTTGGGAGCAGTACCTTCACGATTGCCTTGGCTACTTGCATGACAACAACCCCCACGGTAGATTTGCCCACACCAAAGTGGTTCGCGACTGACCGGTAGCTGTCCGGCGTTGCAAGCTTCCAGAGGGCTATGGCCACTCGCTTCTCAACTGTGAGGGCTGCTCTCATCCTGGTATTCTGGCGCTTCAGGGCAGGGGACAGCAACTCACAAAGTTCGAGGAAAGTCCCCTTCCGCATGCGAAAGTTTCACAGCCACTGGGATTCATCCCAGACCTGAAGCACTATACGGTCCCACCAGTCCGTGCTTGTTTCCCGGGCCCAGAATCGCCGTTCAACAAAATCCACATGCCCCATTGCCAACGTCATGTCCTGGGCGCTGGGGCTCGTGGTTTCTGACAGCTCTGTGCCACTCTCCGACTTCAGGCTCTCACGGCGGTGCCGTAGCCTCCTCGCCCGATTTCTCTGCATCTGCCTCAGGGAAAGGTGTATGATAAGCTGCGAGGTGTTGAGAACGGCCACAAGTGCAGCGATGGTCGCAGCGTGATCCATGCTCGCAGTGCTGTGGCGTCCGCGCTGTCACTGACCAGAAAAGTGCGCGAACTGATTTCCCGCCGGCGCTTTCATGGAGGGAGGGAGGGCGTTAGTGACGGACGGATGACGACAAATTTTTTTTACCCAGAAGGCATTGGCGGCTCGACCCAGAATTCCGATGGGCAGCGGGGACTGCGGGAACTGTGGGATAGCTGCCCACAGTGCACCGCTTCCAATATCGACGCTCGCCCCGTTAGTGTGGACTCACAAAGTCGAATTACTGTCCTTAGTGTGTCCTTAGTGTGGACACACACGTTCGACTTTGCAATATCGATTCCACATATTCGATTTAAGTAAAATCGAATTACCCTCGTAGTGTAGACATACCCTTAGTCACAAAGGTAATGAACATGGTTAATAATAATTATAACTATCCTGCCACTTTGACCCAAGAAAGCTAGCCTTGGGATGTTACTGCTTAAAAATGAGCTGGGGGTAAAACCATGGAATATTCTTTGTGACAAGTATCCCACAAATTCCATTGACCTCCCTTGTTTTCTTTGCCTTGAGCAGGGTTTCCAGTTTCCAAACCTGATATGATATTCCAGATGGAACGAGGGGAAGAGCCGTGGGTCCCAGAGATCCAGGGCTCTGAGAAAGAAGTGCTCCCGAGAGCTGCCTGCACAGGTGAGGAATTGGTTAAATCAAGTCAAAAACTGTTTGGGAATGCAGGAAACATTAGGGATGCCCTACAAAGACCCTGTGAGCTCTCCGAGTTCAGGATTGTTCACAGCAGGTGTGAAATCATTATGGCAGATGTCACTCATGGCTTCCCACCTATCCTGACTGACAACTGGCAGCAGGTCCCTCCCTGATCTTGCTTTCCCCTGAGTGTTCTGGTGAGATGCGGACCAAAACTGATCCCTTCCTCTCTCCTCTGTGGAAGAGTTTGGGGGAAAATCAGCTCCTGATAGGTTTGATCTCTCCAACACATATTTTGATTTGTTCATACCCTTTTCCATTCCTCTCTCTGAGATTTCCTTTCTCTCCGGTGCAGGGAGTGACCTATGTCTGGATTCTCCCTATCTCCCATCAGGTGATGGGATGGTGAGTGAGAATGAAGAGGAGAAACCCCAGCAAGAAGATGCTGAGCAAGTAGAACCACATGGAACGTTATCAGGAAGATCCAAAGGGAATGTTTCCAGGAGTTGTGAACTCCCAGAAAAAGCAAAAGCCTGGGAGAGTCAGCACAGGCCAGAGGAAAACTTCAGTAGCCACTCAGACCTTATTGGAAATGAGAGAATCAGCTTGGAAGAGACACGCTATGCATGCCACGAGTGTGGGAAAAGCTTCAATCACCGCTCTGCCTTTATAACACACTA